ACCAACCATCACTACAACCCAAACCCCCACTACACAAAAACCCTCACTACACCAAACCCCCTACCCCAACCAACTACACCAACCCTCACTCACCAACCATCACACACCAAAAAAATCACAACACCCAAACCCCACACACCAAAACCCCACTACACAAAAACCCTCACTACACAAAACCCTCACAAACCAACCACACTACACCAACCTCACACACCAACCATCACTACACCCAAACCCTCACTACACAAAAACCCTCACTACACCAACCATCACTACACAAAAACCCTCACACACCAACCATCACACACCAACCACACTACACAACCACCTACACCAACCACACTACACAAAAACCCCACTACCCAAACCCTACACACCAACCATCACTCACCAAAAACCCCACTACACCAACCACACACACCAAACCCTCACTACACAAAAACCCTCACTACCCACCACACTAACCAAAAATCACCACAAAAACACAAAACCCTCACTACACAAAAACCCTCACTACCAAAAAAACACTACACCAACCATCACTACACAAAAAACACACACAACCATCACTAAAAACCCCTAAAAAACCCCACAAAACCCCAAACCCTCACACACAAAAACCCCACTACACCAACCACACTACAACCCAAACCATCACTACACCAACCACACTACACCAACCATCCACCCCAAAAACACAAAACCATCACACACCAACCATCCACACAAACCACACTACACAAAAAAAAACAAAAACCCTCACACCCAAAAACCCGCCTACACCAAAACCCCACTACACAAAAACCCCACAAAAACAACCATCACTACACCAACCACACAAAACCAACCACACTACACCAACCACACTACCCCAAAACCCTCACTACACAACCCACTACACCAACCAGCACTACACCCCCACTACACCAACCCAACACTAAAACCCAACCAACATCCACAAAACCTCACTACACCAACCATCACTACACAAAAACCCCACTACACCAACCCTCACTACCCCCCCAAAAACCCTCACTACAAACCCAAACCCCACTACACCAACCACACTACACAAAAACCCTCACTAAAAAACCCAACCAAAAAACTACACCAACCCAAACACAAACACAAAACCAACACACCCACCAAAAACCCCCAAAACCCCCCTACACCAACCATCCTACACAAAAACCCTCACTACACCCAAACCCTCACTACAAACCACACTCAAAACCATCATACACCAACCACACTACACAAAACCATCACAACCCCAACCAAACACACCCAAACCCTCACACACCAACCATCACTACACCAACCATCACTACACCAACCATCACACACAAAACCCAACACAACCCCCAAAAACCCCCAAACCCTCACACACAAAAACCCTCACTACACCCAAACCCCACTACACCAACCATCACTACACCAACCATCACTACCCAACCACACTACACCAAACCCACTCACCAACCCCCAAAAAACCAACCATCACTACACCAACCACACTACACCAAACCCTCACTACACAAAACCATCACTACACCAACCACACACCCAACCATCACTACACAAAAACCCTCACACACCAACCATCACTACACCAACCACACACACCCAAACCCCCTACAACCCCAAACCCCACTACACCAACCTCATACACCAACCCCTCACACACAAAAAACACTACACCAACCAGCACTACACCAACCCACTACACAAAACCACACACACCAACCATCACACCCAAACCCTCACTACACCCAAACCCCACTACACCAACCACACTACACCACCATCACTACACCAACCATCACTACACCCCAAAACCAAAAAACCCCCTACACCAAACCCTCACTACACCCAAAAAACCCCACAACACCAACCATCCCCCACCCCCTCACTACACCAACCACATACACCAACCATCACTACACCAACCAACACACCCAACCATCACTAACCAACCATCACTACACCAACCTCACAAAACAACCCTCACTACACCCAAACCTCACTACACCAACCCTCACTAACCAAACCCCACTAACCAACCATCACTACACCCCAATACCCCAAAACACTACACCAACCATCACACACCAACCCACACTACACCCAACCACATACACCAACCATCACTACACCAACCACACTACACCAACCCTCACTACACCAACCATCACTACACCAACCATCCTACACCAACATCACACACAAAACCCCCACTACACCAACCACATACACCAACCACACTACCCAACCATCATACACCAACCACACTACACCCAAACCCTCACTACACCAACCTCACTACACAAAAAAATCACTACACCAAACCCCACTACACCAACCACACACACAACCACACTACACCCAAAACACTACACCAACCATCACTAACAAACCAACCACCAAATCCCACACCAACCACACACACCCAAACCCTCACTACACCAACCATCACTACACCAACCACACTACACCAAACCCTCACTAACCACCATCACTACCCAACCACACACACCAAACCCTCACTACACAAAAACCCCACACAAAACCCAACCACACTACACCAACCACACTACACCAAACCCTCACTACCAAAAACCCCCTACAACCCAAACCTCACAACCAACCACAATAACCCAACCACACTACACCCAAACCCACTACACCAACCCTCACTACACAAAACCACACACCCAACCCTCACTACACCCAACCCTCACTACCCAACCACACTACACCAACCATCAACACCAACCACACTAAAAAACCAACACTACAAAAAACCCTCACTACCCAACCATCACACACCAACCATCACACACCAACCATCATAAACCAAACCCACTACAACCAACCATCACTACACCAACCTCACTACACCAACCATCACTACACAACCAATTTACTACACCAACCCACACAACACCAACCATCACTAACCAACCTCAAAATACACCAACCCCTTAAAAAATACACCAAACCACACTACCCAACCCTCACTAAAAAACCCACCACCAACCTTAACACCAACCACACTACCCAACCACCAAAAAAACTACACCAACCATCACAACCAAAAACCATCACTAACCAACCCATACACCAAAAACCTCACTACACCAACCATCACTACACCAAAACCCTCACTACACCAACCACACTACACCAACCACACTACACCCAAACCCCACTACACCAAAACCCCACTACACCAACCCTCACTACACCAACTATCACCCCCACACACCAACCACATCCCCCTCCAAAAAAAACCCAGCAGCGACCACAACCCCCACCAAATCCTAACCCCCCACCCACCCCAGCCATCACTCCCCTCTCACCAGCTGTTGTTAAATTCCCATTTTACTGCACATGAAGCACATATTGGTATTTAATCTTTCCTTTTAATTTCAGATAGAGATAGAGAGAGAGAGAGAGAGAGAGAGAGAGAGAGAGAGAGAGAGAGAGAGAGAGAGAGAGAGAGAGAGAGAGAGAGAGAGAGAGAGAAAGAGATAGATAGATAGATAAATAGATAGATAGATAGAGAGAGAGAGAGAGAGATACTCCTTAAACATCACCACAGATGAGTCGCAGGGATGTCAAGAAGCACTTGTAGGTAAGCAAGTTTATTTAGGCACAGGTACACATAAATACAATTATCAAACATAGTGTAAATTACCCAGGGTAATCAAAAACAAGTCAAGACAAAGTGACTTATTTCCATTTATGTCCTTAGTTGTCCCAGGGTGGCATAACTTGTGTAACAAACTAGCAGAGGAGTTAGTGGAAACAAAATGAATATACATCTTGAACATTAGGCATGATCAGGTCCAAGAAGCCAGAAACCAGTCATGCCGGTTTAAACAGTCAGAAGCTTAGGGGCGGCCACTGCGGACACGCGATACAAATGACGAACTGCTAGCAATACTGAAGTGGCACGAGTTACACAGCAGTCATTTTGACAGTTTCGTTTTTTGTTGACAAAGCTCCATCTGCTCATCTTCATTACACCGTGCAGAGGAAATGACCCGAGGCTGTCACGAATCTTTGAAAACCTGCTGGCTGGCCTTTCCTCATATAGTCTCAGGGTAAAAAGTAAGGAAGGTGACCAACTGTAAGCAAACACAACTCTCTGAGTGCAGGCTGTCCCGCCTCTCTCTGTCTCTCTCTCTCTCTCCTAGTTAATTATACAACCTAGCACACCACTCTCCGACTTAGTAATGAGACAACACACACAGCACTCAGTGTTATGGTGAATATTATCTGTTCTTTGTAGGTAACGAAGCAACAACCAGAAACAAGAGAAGTGTCTCACAGTTATGCGAAACATAATATGTTCTTTGTAAGTAATGAGACAACACAGCATAGAAAAACTACCTCAGAGTTAATGTTATAGGGAAAATTATATGCTCTTTCGTACATTAGACTCCCGTGATAAATGTCATCTGTAAATATGTCAGCTGTTTTGCGCCAACATTCCTGGTTCCAGCTAATTTTTATGTGCCATGAAGCACTGCACTATGTGATAAAAGACTGAACAGTAGGGACGGACTGTAATTTAATTCTCTGTCTCTGTCTCTCTCTCTCTCTCTCTCTCTCTCTCTCTCTCTCTCTCTCTCTCTCTCTCCTCTCTCTCTCTCTCTCTCTCTCCTCTCCCTCCCTCCCTCTGTCTCTGTCCCTTTTTTTCCTCTCTCTCTCGCTGTTTATCTTTTCGAATCAACATTCTACGTATCCTCACGAATACTACGAAATTCCCAAAATCTTCACGAACTTTCCAAACCGTCGCGTTAGCCACTGGGCCACACGAAGGTCTGGAGTTTGAGACTCTCTGACCGCGGTTTAAACTCCACCCGTGGTATGGTTACTTCACGAACCCTCGTACCGTTGGGTTCGTCAGCTAATGAAAATTTAGTCTTCAGTATATTCCTTAAAGAGGTAACATTATTTACACGACGTCTGTGTTGTTGTTGCACCACCAGGTTGTTACTACCAGTTCAGCCACTACAACGAGGGTGACAGGATCGTCACCAACGAGCCCTGCCTGAACTGCACCTGTCACAACTCCATGCTCATGTGCTACCTTAAGGTAAGTTCTTGCTGCTCCCTCAGTATAAGTACTTACTGCGCTCTTAAAGCTAAATACTTCAGCGTCACCTGTAGATGCTACAACTCTACGATCATGTACTCCCTTAACGTAAATATTTACCGCTGTCTTTACGTATATACTGCTACCTTGACGTAATATACTGCTACCTTGACGTAATATACTGCTACCTTGACGTAATATACTGCTACCTTGACGTAATATACTACTACCTTGACGTAATATACTGCTACCTTGACGTAATATACTGCTACCTTGACGTAATATACTACTTAAACATAACTAAAAATTGTTAGTTATATTATCTGGTGTGTTTTGAATATTATTTATGACAGAATATTTTATCTTTGGAAGAGTTAACAGATATAATAATATAAGTCACAGTTTTTGTAATATACAATGAAGAGAATTTTTTTATGGTTTCGTGAAAACTATTTTTGTATTTGTCCATTTAAATATTAAAAGGCACGATAAATTTTCATTGGGACATTTTTAGATTTATTTAGCTAATTGTATTAATTTATATACGTCATTAGAAGGTATATTAAGTATCCTTCCGGTATTCTGCACATGGCGGCATCCTTCTAGTGTTCTGTTTAGAAACTCCAGGGATCCCTGTCATTGATTAAAGTATTTCTTACGTATACATGTACTTCAATTTAGATATTCCAGGTATCCCTGTCATTAATTAGAGGATTTTGTATGTTTCACATCGTGTTAGAATATCCAGATATCCCAGTCACTCATTAGTGAATTTCTGATGCATGCTCCAGTTTAGATAATCCAGATTATCTCTGTCATTGCATTTGAGAGGTTTAAGTGTCAGCAGCTGTACTAAGTACACTCATCTTCCCTGTCCCAGGTGTGTCCCTTCAGCAAGCCCATTGGTCAAGACTGTACGGTAGAGAAGAGTTCTAATCAATGCTGCCCCGTGATCACCTGTCCACAAGGTTAGTTAACATATATGTCAGGAGCTGTCACAGGAGGTAGCCGTGGCCTCCAGCTTGGTTGAGGGCTGGTAGGTAGGTAGCCGTGGCCTCCAACATGGTGGAGGAAGGCTGGGAGGTAGCCGTGGTCTCCAGCCTGGTGGAGGAAGGCTGGGAGGTAGCCGTGGCCTCCAGCCTGGTGGAGGAAGGCTGGGAGGTAGCCGTGGCCTCCAGCCTGGTGGAGGAGGGCTGGGAGGTGGCCGCCACTAGCAGTAATGTGGGAACCTGACAGAGATCACTGGCCACCTTATATCAACCACTCTACAATCATGTGGTCACAACCAACATTACACTGAGCGTTGCTACTCTTCAACAACGAGGCAAGAGGTGACTCTTATTGCTCTCATAACCTTCAGTGCTTTCATCTGGCTCTATCATTGTCATTTAAGACAAACCTCATATTTCCATTTGCTTTTCGTTGGTTAATTTTCTTCAGACTATGTTTTGGTTATTTCAATTATTATAATTGCCATCATCATCACAATTATCATCGTCGTGTCCATGCTGTTTGAAGGCGACTTGATTCTTGCTACACATAAATTGTCCTTCATCCTATAATTTAGAAATTCATTTAATCAAGTATTGAGCTTAACTTCGTTTAACTGTTGTAAATAATACATTGCCTCATGCACGTCCAGTCTCGTTTATTTGTAATTGTTGTAATTACACACACACACACACACGCACACACACACACACACACACACACACACACACACACACACACACACACACACACACACACACACACACACACACACACACACACTTCCTGCTTCTCTTATAACTCTATACGTCTTATAGCGTGCCTACAGTGAGCTTAGACTGTGAGCCGTAATAGGTAGTTCCGGGGAGGAAGTGTCGATGTCCGCGCGTGTCTCAATGCGGATGAGGGAGGGAGGGAGGGGTGAAGGAGGGAAGAAAGAAGGGTGGTGGGTGTTTGGCTGAGTGAGGGAGAGAATAAATGTGGGAAGTAGGCAGGTACGTTTCACCCCAATGGGTGAAACGTCGTATAAATAAAATATTGTTTGCTTTATGTCTTTCTGCTATCACCTTAGAGAGCTTATATTGACTCCCGGTTAATACTACACGATGTCGTGTTTAACTTAATATTCACTGGTTAATATTAAATGGTATTGACTGTATTAAGTGTTGTTTATTCAGTATATCTACGGTCCTCTCACACCAAGTTTAAGTATTGCGTAATAGTATCATTTCCATTAAAGGACTTTTCTTTTTTTTAAATTTTGTGGTTTTCTCCCCTTGGGACGTGGGATGAACTTCATTTTCGTAGTATAAAAAGTCTCTATATATTCTGAAGTGTAACGGTGATATTTTTCAGATGCCTTTATGTCGGTGAAGGGATTTTGAGACTCCCCTTCTTTGGATCATATCTAATTCCCTCTCATTGCATCTTTCCCTTAGATACTAGATCCGTTTCTTTAAAGCGCCACTTGTCTAACTATGCTATTTGCTGTCGTGACAGTGCCAGTGAACCTACAAGTGATGCAGATGACCACCACCACCACCTCTCCTCCTAGCATCAGCAGCAGCAGCAGCATCATCAGCGGTAGCGGAGATACCATCACCGACCTGGCCACCGTGACGGAACACGGCTGTACCATCGAAGGAAGCTACTATCCCGACGGCGTCCAGGTCAGTCCCCCGTCCAACTTCCTCTTCCCCCCCCCTCTCTCTTTCTCCTTCCTCTTCACCTGCCCTCCCTTTCTCATCTGCTCCGGCTGGGGTAAGGTGTGCATTCCGTAACCTGTCTGCTGGATATGAGGGAGTCAGTGTTCTCACGCCAGGGATGTTAACTGTATGCAAGCAAGTCTTAGTTCAGATTTATTGTTAATGGTATCATGTTTCATCAAGACTTCGAATTTTATTAATTGTGGAGGAGTGTATATACTCAGCTAATTGATTGTGTGCTTATTTATGTGCGTATGTGAGTGTATGTGTACCTCAGTGTCAGCTTACCTGTGTGTGTTAATACATCGGCTTATGTACGTGTCTACGCCTACAACAATCACCCTTATTCTTCCTCCTCCATATTGCATCAAATAAACACATTTTAAATAAACAAATTTCCTCGCAGGTTCCTGGAAATCCAGCCAAACCTTGCGAGTTGTGTTACTGCATCAGGAACCACACTGCTTGTGTCATGCAGGAGTGCACTCTCAAGGTACCAAGATGCGAACCCATCTTCGAGGAGGGTATCTGCTGCCCCGTCAGATACGGCTGTGGTTAGTACTCACTTCCCGGGTGAAAGAAAGTTGACTTGTTTGTTGTTGCAAGAGTAGAGCTACACTCATGGTATCTCATTTTTCGATAATTTTATTTTAATCTTTGCAATAGTTGTTGCACTCTGGTCATGGGGCAAGAAATGACTATCGGCAACTTGAATGAATGAACACGAATGCGTTCATCTTTCACCAAACATGTTCTGAGTGAATGCTTTCGTGTTCATTTCACTCCAGCCGTCTTATAAAATATTACGCTTCTCAACTACACTAAAGACGTACATCCAACTGATTCTAAACAGCTACAACACAAAACAGTTTCTAAATTTAAGAGATTTTTGGTTTGTGTTTCTTGCAGTCTCTCTTAAATTTATAGACGATTACTATATTACTTATTGTTTTTGTATCTATAAAAAAAAAAATCTTTTCTTGTCCAGCTTCTTCCCGGTTGTTGTCATCTCCGGTTTTAAGCACAATAAGGTCACTAAGCACAATAAGGTCACTAGCTAGCATCGTTTTGAATGGAAACTAAATGTTATTACTGATTACCCTTTAGTTAACGAACTTGAGGTATATTGTGTGTATGGATTGTGTATGAATTTTAACACCTTGACTCCGACCAAACAGTTACTAAACGCCTCTTGCGTCTAGTTATTGTTCACGTTACGTAATTGTTCACATTTGTTTAGATTTTTCCGTCATTCTTAGGAAATTAAAATTTTTCCACTAAAATTAAGATAAAATTTTTGGTTAAAAATGTTAATTTAACATAAAAGTGCTGAGTTTTTCATATTTTATTAGATCTTATTTAACTATAGCTCATATTCAATTAGTAATGTATTATCATATGCTAAAATTAGGCACTTTCACTCTCAGTTAATGCCTTTTAAATAAAAATATGTTAATTTTATTGGAACAATTTAAATTTGACAAGAACGACTGAAAAAAAATAAAAAATAAATGTGAGAATATTACGAAATATCAAGGTTGTTTATTTCTGAAAAATAGTCATTATCTCTGCTTGAGCGTCACTTTCACTTGATGCACTCGTCATCCTCAGCTTATAACGAGACTGACGAGGGTCTTCTGACGACGACAACGTCTCCCTTCGCTACGGTGAATGACTCCATAGTCTTGCCGACCACCACCATGCCTCCCAGCCCCGCCGGCTGCTTCCACAAGGGAGACTTCTACGCCGACGGTGCTCTCATTCCTTCTGACGACCCTTGTGAGCACTGCTACTGCGTGCTGAGTGACCTGGTGTGTGTCATCCAGGGGTGTCTCTACCCTTGACGACATGCAAGAGAACTGCATCCCAAGAGCCGCCCGTGAGGGGGTGTGCTGTCCTGAAGCCTACGATTGTCGTAAGTGTTACTACACGAGTCCTGTTGGGCGGGTAACTGTGGTAAACATACTCTTGTGAAATAGTGTCCACTTGTCGCACTCATCTCAAGAGTACAAACTACTCTCATTTCAGGAGCACTGACCAAACACTCACATCAGGTCTTTTCTCTACTTGACTTCCCTGTTATATTTGAAGAAAATAATTAAAGTAATTACAGTAATTACCATTTATCTAATGTGCTTTCAAACAAACACTAAAACTAATGTCTTCAGGGAAACTATTTTTTGTCCTTTCAATTTGATAGCAAAGGTCAGGCAGGGAAACAGTCCTGGGTCGCTAACCGTTATATTCCTATACAGTGTTATTCTCTGGCAACACAAAGATGAAATATTGTAAATATAACATAAGACACATTAACCTCTTCTTGTAACTATGCACACATAAACACTAAGTTCTTTTGGTATAATAATTATTAAAAATAATATTAATTCTTAAGCTTTACAACGTGAAGGTGCTTGACCACAGAACCTACCCATGGATACTGGATATATCCATCAAATTTAAAATAATTTCGAGGATATATTTCCAGTGTTGATGAGTGGGTCGTGGACCAGTCTTTAACAGGTGTGTAACACTTCCTTGCAGGCGATGGGTCAGTGTACACATTACCCATTCCCCCCCATCGGGTTCTTACTCCCCCACTCTCCAGCAAGCGTGGGGAGAGGCTTCATCCAGGGACACAATTCGGTTGTTACCTTGACACCTCGTTCAGCATCCACTATTAACACATCCCACTGGAGCTTGCACAGCTCACATCACTAACAACACAGTATAAAGTTTGGCTTTACCAGCTTATCCATTGCTATTTCTGTAATGCACATGTCCCACAGAAAATAATTTAAACATGCCTATGCTTCGACCTTTCTCTATAAAAGCAAGATTTGCAACTGCACGATGTAACTGCCTGATATATATATATAATATATATATATATATATATATATATATATATATATATATATATATATATATAAATATATATACTGTAACACAAGTTCCAGGAGCTGCTGTTTGCCTGGAACGTCCCTATGGCCTCTTACCACTTCATTATATTTTGTCAACATCACAATATTATGAGACCTTCAGGAGAAAATTTAATATAATAATATATTTGCATGCTACAACGCTTGTCATGAAGCCAAAAAGTGACTGTCAGTGACAAACTAAACCTTTCCTCGAGCATGTTACAATGTTTGTCATGAAGTCAGGCAGTGTGCCAGTCATAACATAAAATATTCTTCGCATCAACCACGTAGGTCTACGTTGTGCGAGTTAATTAAGCATGAGCTTAATTTTAGTTACAAATAACTGCTGCTCATTCTATAATTGATCTCCATTTTAAAATACCCAGTTAAACAATCGTAAAATGCATGCCCTTATTCACTGCCTGAGGTGGCCAACTGAGTGAGGAATTAAAGCCTTGTATATGACACGTTACTGACAAGACTGAACTAGCACAAGTGAATCTTCCAACTAGTACTTTTTATGGCGTATAGAACGTATTGTATTTACGGAACGACCCGGCAAAGGACTAGAGCTGATGCATATGAAATTTAATTTTATGTGAGACTGGTTCTTAGCTCACAGGACTCATGCTTGTCTTACCAGAGATCAACCTGGACACCTCAGAGAATATTTGTGCAGCAGCGAGTATTTATTATTGGCTTTTATGACCCAAGACTTCTCTATTTAAAAACAGAGATGTGTCCTTTTGTTAATGTCATGTGCAGTTTTGACTTTACTCGTACAGATTGATAAAAATATTAATGTGTGAGAGTTGTACGTTATTTACACGACGGTGCTTGATTTTAAGACATTATTAATTATATGACACTTTTCTCTTGATAATCTAGAATTATACTTAACTTATTTAAGGTATATTATAAGACTCTCCAGACTTCATTACGAGACCCACATACCGTATTAGGCACATAACATTTTGTATATAAGGTTACACTAGGGATTAATGTACGTGCATTTCACGTATGACTATCTTGAATTATTTCATAACTTAAAGAAATATATCCTAAAGGAAAAAAAAAAAACATCCTTGTAACTTTCACTCATACTTTGAACTCATCAGAATTTTAATTTTATTTTCTCAGACTACATTAGTTAGCACAAAATTTAAAAATATTTCCGAGAAAAATTATATTCTTAATTATGAGGATAGTTAATAATTTATAAATATCGCTACCATTTCAAAATAATATTATATACTATTTACATTAGACTGTGTTCCATATCTGTGACTAATTGGGTTTCTATTAACCTACAGCTGAGGTGACAACAGTCACGATAGATGCTTCCGCAGTAACGATCGACCCCAGCAGGGCGACTGAGGGATACCAGGAAGTGACTGAGGAATCTACAACAGAGGGTGACCTCGACGGGCTGACAGCCACTGACAGACCGGCTGTAGATTTAGAAACTGATGCTGAAACCACTGATAGCCAAACTGGTGTGGAGACAGGCACTCATGCTCCAATTGGTGTTGATGAGACAGCCACTTATGCCCCTGGTATTGAGGCAGGCACTAATGATTCAACTAGTATTGAGACAGGTACTGATGAATCAACTGGTATTGAGACAGGTACTGACATATCAATCGGAGACGGAATTTCCACTGATTCTCCAACAGTACCAGAAGGAGTCAGTGCATCGCCCACCACTAGTTCCTACACTACCACTGAAAGTTCGGTAACTCCAGAGGTGACCCTCGACCAAGATGGTGATTACATTACTGAGGCTTCTGTTGCTACTGACGGTGTGAGTGATATTAGTGAACCAGTGTTACTCAACCCTCAACACTTACTGAGGCAACTTTGGTTACTGAAAGTCCTGAAGATAAAGACACTACAGGAGTTACAGAGATTCCTGTAGGTACACCAGGCCCTGATACTTCAGCAACTGATGACACTGCCACTGATGGACCAGCTGAGGTTGATGAGACAGCCACTGATAGACCAGTTGAAGTTGATGAGACAGCCACTGATGGACCAGTTGAAGTTGATGAGACAGCAACTCATCCCCCAACTGGTGTTGAGACAGGCACTGATGGACCAAGTGGTGTAGAGACAGGCACTGATGAATCAATTGGTATTGAGACAGGTACTAATGTTCCAACTAGTATTGAGACAGGCACTGATGAATCAATTGGTACTGAAACAGGTACTGACGAATCAACTGGGACTGAGACAGTCACTGATGAATCAACTGGTGTTGATGAGACAGCTACTCATGCTCCTGGTATTGAGACAGGTACTGGTGAATCAACTGGTATTCAGACAGGCACTGATGAATCAACTGGTGCTGAAACAGGTACTGACGAATCAACTGGGACTGAGACAGTCACTGATGAATCAACTGGTATTCAGACAGGTACTGATGAATCAACTGGGATTGAGACAGGCACTGATGAATCAACTGGGATTGAGACAGGCACTGATGAATCAACTGGTGTTGATGAGACAGCTACTCATGCCCCTGGTGTCGAGACAGTTACTGACGAATCAACTGGTATTGAGACAGGTACTGACATATCAACTGGAGACGGAATTTCCACTGATTCTCCAGCAGTACCAGAAGGAGTCAGTGCATCGCCCACCACTAGTTCCTACACTACCACTGAAAGTTCAGTAACTCCAGAGGTGACCCTCGACCAAGATGGTGATTACATTACTGAGGCTTCTGTTGCTACTGACGGTGTGAGTGATGTTAGTGAACCAAGTGTTACTCAACCCTCAATACTTACTGAGGCAACTTTGGTTACTGAAAGTCCTGAAGATAAAGATACTACAGGAGTTGCAGAGATTCCTGTAGGTACACCAGGCCCTGATACTTCAGCAACTGATGACACTGCCACTGATGGACCAGCTGAGGTTGATCAGCCAGCCACTGATGGACCAGCTGAGGTTGATGAGACAGCCACTGATAGACCAGCTGAGGTTGACGAGACAGCCACTCATCCCCCAACTGGTGTTGAGACAGGCACTGATGAACCAACTGGTGTAGAGACAGGCACTGGTGTACTAACTGGCGTTGAGACAGGCACTGATGGTCCAGTTGGTGTTGATGAAACAGCCACTCATGCCCCTGGCATCGAGACAGCCACTGATGAATCAACTGGTACTGAGACAGGCACTGATGCCCCAACTGGTGCTGATGAGACAGACACTCATGCCCCTGGTATTGAGACAGGCACTGATGAATCAACTGGTGTTGAGACAGGCACTGATGAATCAACTGGTGCTGAGACAGGCACTGAATGAATCAACTGGTGTTGAGACAGGCACTGATGAATCAACTGGTGCTGAGACAGGCACTGATGGACCAACTGGTGTAGAGACAGGCACTGGTGTACTAACTGGCGTTGAGACAGGCACTGATGGTCCAGTTGGTGTTGATGAAACAGCCACTCATGCCCCTGGCATCGAGACAGCCACTGATGAATCAACTGGTACTGAGACAGGCACTGATGCCCCAACTGGTGCTGATGAGACAGACACTCATGCCCCTGGTATTGAGACAGGCACTGATGAATCAACTGGTGTTGAGACAGGCACTGATGAATCAACTGGTGCTGAGACAGGCACTGATGAATCAACTGGTGTTGAGACAGGCACTGATGAATCAACTGGTGCTGAGACAGGCACTGATGCCCCAACTGGTGTTGATGAAACAGCCACTCATGCCCCTGGCATCGAGACAGCCACTGATGAATCAACTGGTACTGACACAGGCACTGATGCCCCAACTGGTGCTGATGAGACAGACACTCATGCCCCTGGTATTGAGACAGGCACTGATGAATCAACTGGTGTTGAGACAGGCACTGATGAATCAACTGGTGTTGAGATAGGCACTGATGAATCAACTGGTGCTGAGACAGGCACTGATGAATCAACTGGTGTTGAGACAGGCACTGATGAATCAACTGGTGCTGAGACAGGCACTGATGAATCAACTGGTGCTGAGACAGGCACTGATGAATCAACTGGTGTTGAGACAGGCACTGATGAATCAACTGGTGTTGAGACAGGCACTGATGAATCAACTGGTGCTGAGATAGGCACTGATGAATCAACTGGTGCTGAGACAGGCACTGATGAATCAACTGGTGTTGAGACAGGCACTGATGCCACAACTGGTGTTGATGAGATAGCCACTCATGCCCCTGGTATTGAGACAGGTGCTGACGAAACAACTGGTATTGAGACAGGTACTGACGAATCAACTGGTATTGAGACAGGTACTGACGAATCACCTGGTGTCGAGACAGTTACTGACGAATCATCTGGTATTGAGACAGGTACTGATGAATCAACTGGAGAGGGAATTTCCACTGATTCTCCAGCAGTACCAGAAGGAGTCAGTGCATCGCCCACCACTAGTTCCTACACTACCACTGAAAGTTCAGTAACTCCAGAGGTGACCCTCGACCAAGATGGTGATTACATTACTGAGGCTTCTGTTGCTACTGACGGTGTGAGTGATGTTAGTGAACCAAGTGTTACTCAACCCTCAACACTTACTGAGGCAACTTTGGTTACTGAAAGTCCTGAAGATAAAGATACTACAGGAGTTACAGAGATTCCTGTAGGTACACCAGGCCCTGATACTTCAGCAACTGATGACACTGCCACTGATGGACCAGCTGAGGTTGATCAGCCAGCCACTGATGGACCAGCTGAGGTTGATGAGACAGCCACTGATAGACCAGCTGAGGTTGACGAGACAGCCACTCATCCCCCAACTGGTGTTGAGACAGGCACTGATGGACCAACTGGTGTAGAGACAGGCACTGGTGTACTAACTGGCGTTGAGACAGGCACTGATGGACCAATTGGTGTTGAGACAGGTACTGATGAATCAACTGGTATTGAGACAGGCACTGATGAATCAACTGGTGTTGAGACAGGCACTGGTGTACTAACTGGTGTTGAGACAGGTACTGATGAATCAACTGGTATTGAGACAGGCACTGATGAATCAACTGGTGTTGAGACGGCTACTCATGCCCCATCTGGTGTTGATGAGACAGCTATTGATGGGCCACCTGAAGTTGAAATAGCCACCTATGACCCAGCTGAAGTTGATGGGTCAGTCACTCACGGTCCAACTGAGACAGTTACTGGTTCCACAGCTGATGTTTCTGAGACTTCAACAAGTCTAGAAGAAACGTTCCCAGAAGTTCCCGATGGCGTCTATGCAACTGAAACGCCTTCTGTTGCCCCTGAAACTGAGGTACCGGGAGAGTCCCTCACTGTAGCTACACAAACTTCTGAGGGTGCCTACACAGAGTCTCCTCTGGCGACTGGAAACTGTGATGTTAATGGGACACTGTATAAGAGTAACGCCTTTGTTCCTGTAACTGATCCTTGCCAAGAAAGTTGTAAATGTGTGGAAGGCCAGGTAAAGTGTGAATACATAGGATGTCCTCCTCCACCACCTCGCTTTCTTAGATGTGACTCCAAGCCTGTGGAAGGAGTGTGCTGCCCAACTTATTCCTGCCGTGAGTATTCGTACTGTCTTTGAGATTGTTTTATAATTAAATACATTATTATGCCTTTATAAACTATATGTTATATCCGTCATTACTTGGGTAATTGTGTTTTCAGCCACATCTGAGGTAGAGACCTTACCGTCACCCGGGTGCCTTGTTGATGGCGTCCAGTATTATGAAGGAGATTATGTGCCAAGGTCCGACTTCTGCACTGATTGCTACTGCTTAAAGGGAGAAACTATTTGCGCATTTGTAGAATGCAGTGAACCTGCTGGCCAAAACTGCACACCCTCGGAAGTTCCTAAGGGCGAATGCTGTCCATCGAAATATGACTGTGGTAAGGTTTCTCTAATGCCGGGGTGAGGACTGATGTCGATTGTTATATATCGAAGTTTATGTATATCAGATAGAGGTACTTGGACGAGGTATTACCAGTATTTTCTTTTGCATAAATATTTAGAAACGAAGTTAGCGGCGATATTTAGTAAGTAATTACACATGCATGTATTATTCCAGATGCGATCGATATTCTCGAGGTAGGAAACCTTGTTACGGGTGCTGACACTGAGGCAGGCACAACCCTGTCACCTACGCCTACTGACATTGTTGATGAAAAAGTGACGGAAAAGGAAGGTGAGGCAGCTGTCACTGAGGCAGGACATGCAGAACCTGAGGCACCAGTCACTCAAGCTATCATTACCGGTGAAATAGCAGGTGGAACAGTTGAACTAACGGAGGCGCCAGATGCCATGATGACTGGACCGGGTTCTTCCATGGAGACGCGAACAACCGCTCCTGATGACGATAGCTTCCTTACTACGCCAATGACCATTATAACTGATGAAAGCCTGCCAACACAGAGTGAAGAGGATGCGGTCACAAAAGCACCAGCTGAAGTTCAACAGATTGCCACTGGCATACAGACTGGAGTTGATGAGTCAGAAGACTCAACAGTAGCTCCTGGGGAAGAAGTAAGTCCTGATGGGGTCCCTGGAGAAGGAAGCTGTATACTGAACAGTACCACATACAACAATGGTGCCACAGTTCCTGGTACGACACCTTGCCACAAGTCATGCACCTGCCAGAACAGTATTATAGCTTGTACTTTGAAGGCCTGTCCTCCTCCACCTCCGTCATTCTTGCGATGCCAGCCTGTCCAAGACCCAGACCAGTGCTGCCCTTCATACGACTGTGGTAAGTTCACTTAACATTAGTTAGTGAGGTGGACTATAGAATGTCATCTGGTAATTATATTCTAAATATAATTTATTGTAAATTATTTTGATCATGTGTTTCTCTCGCATTTTTCCAGACTCTGTAACCCAGGAGACAACTCCGTCGCCCGGTTGCATTAGTTATGGGGTTCAGTACTACGAGGGTCAGGCGGTTCCTAGTAAAGATGTCTGCACTGACTGTTTCTGCACTGGCGGCGAGATAGTCTGCGCTAGCCTCGACTGTACGCCTCCCGCTGGAATTAATTGCAAACCAATCATACGAAGCGAAGATGACTGTTGCCCCAAGGAGTATGAATGTGGTAAGTAGAAGATTAATACTCAAAAGCGAACTTCATTATAGAGTACATTAATATCGATATTTAGATTGTGCTAATGAAGAGAAAATTATTATATTAAGAACCTCCATGACCGATGCTAATTGGAAACTTGTAACTTTTGTTTATATTTCCCAACAATCCTGTTAGTAAGAACTAAAATGACCCACAGTCAGTAACAATAAGAGGAAAGATATCACCGCTTCCATTTCCTTTATTATCGTTGTAGGACAAACTTTATGTAGATTTCTCAAATATGGTTTTCAGCAAATTTCTCGATTTACACTATTTAGAATTAGGTCACGTTAGACTGTCCTCTAGCAATAAAACCTGAAGCAGTTATAATATAACATGAAATACACGATAAAGGTGATAAAAAGTTCTGACAAGGAAAGAGAAAACAGGACCCCACCGTGCGTCCTAAAAAAGTCTAAGTCACATAATCGTTAAACAGTCAGCCACTTGAATGTGTTAATAATAGTAAAGTACTGTAAGTCATTAAGAGGCAGGGCTGCTGTCAGAGGTACGGAAAATCAATACCGGTTTAGAAGGCACGTAAGTTCCCTTGTCTTCTAATAACATGTTCATTTTCCACTGTAATCTACCTTGTCCGCATTTACTATCGCATTTGCTTTGTCTGTTTCGTAACGTGAAGTCTAGGATCTTTCTTTCGATCAGACTTCTGCAACACAATTGTCCTCAGAGATTTATTAAGTTATACCATGAATTAAAGAAAGATCCTAGACTTCACCTTAGGAAACAGACAAAGCAAATGCCATAGTAATTACGGACAAGGTAGATTAGAGTAGAAAAATGAATATGTTATTAAAAGACGGAGGAACTTACGTGTCCCTTAAGGAAACGAGTTACCATGCCTTTCCTTGTATCCAGTTTGATTACAATTAGTTCAGTGTTCAACAACAAAAAAGTGTTTTATATGAAATGTAAATATTATTACGTTATATTTCAGACATGGAACACTGCCTGATATACCCACCGATGTTGATACAGCCACTGATGGTCCAACTGATGTTGATACAGCCACTGATGGTCCAACTGATGTTGATACAGCCACTGATGGTCCAACTGATGTTGATACAGCCACTGATGGTCCAACTGATGTTGATACAGCCACTGATGGTCCAACTGATGTTGATACAGCCACTGATGGTCCAACTGATGTTGATACAGCCACTGATGGTCCAACTGATGTTGATACAGCCACTGATGGTCCAACTGATGTTGATACAGCCACTGATGGTCCAACTGATGTTGATACAGCCACTGATGGTCCAACTGATGTTGATACAGCCACTGATGGTCCAACTGATGTTGATACAGCACTGATGGTCCAACTGATGTTGATACAGCCACTGATGGTCCAACTGATGTTGATACAGCCACTGATGGTCCAACTGATGTTGATACAGCAGCCACTGATGTTGATCCAACTGATGTTGATACAGCCACTGATGGTCCAACTGATACTGATACAGCCACAGATGGACCAACTGATACTGATACAGACACTCATGGTCCAACTGATACTGATACAGCCACTGATGGACCAACTGATGTTGATACAGCTACTGGTGGTTCAATTGATGTTGATACAGCCACTGATGGACCAACTGATGTTGATACAGCTACTGGTGGTTCAATTGATGTTGATACAGCCACTGATGGACCAACTGATACTGATACAGCCACTGATGGTCCAACTGATGTTGATACAGCCACAGATGGACCAGCTGATGTTGATACAGCCACTGATGGTCCAACTGATATTGATACAGCCACAGATGGACCAACTGATACTGATACAGCCACTGATGGTCCAACTGATGTTGATACAGCCACAGATGGACCAGCTGATGTTGATACATTCACTGATGGTCCAACTGATATTGATACAGCCACAGATGGACCAACTGATACTGATACAGACACTCATGGTCCAACTGATACTGATACAGCCACTGATGGACCAACTGATGTTGATACAGCTACTGATGGTCCAATTGATGTTGATACAGCCACTGATGGACCAACTGATGTTGATACAGCCACTGATGGACCAACTGATGTTGATACAGCCACTGATGGACCAACTGGTGTTGATACAGCCACTGATGGACCAGCTGATGTTGAAACAGCCACTGATGGACCAACTGGTGTTGATACAGCCACTGATGGACCAACTGATGTTGATACAGCCACTGATGGACCAACTGGTGTTGATACAGCCACTGATGGACCACTGATGTTGATAACAGCCACTGATGGACCAACTGGTGTTGATACAGCCACTGATGGACCAACTGAGTGTTGATACAGCCACTGATGGACCACTGATGTTGATACAGCCACTGATGGACCAACTGATGTTGATACAGCCACTGATGGACCAACTGGTGTTGATACAGCCACTGATGGACCAACTGATGTTGATACAGCCACTGATGGACCACTGATGTTGATACAGCCACTGATGGACCAAACTGATGTTGATACAGCCACTGATGGACCAGCTGATGTTGATACAGCCACTGATGGACCACTGTGTTGATACAGCCACTGATGGACCAACTGATGTTGATACAGCCACTGATGGCCACTGATGTTGATACAGCCACTGATGGACCAGCTGATGTTGATACAGCCACTGATGGACCAACTGATGTTGATACAGCCACTGATGGACCAACTGATGTTGATACAGCCACTGATGGACCAACTGGATGTTGATACAGCCACTGATGGACCAGACTGATGTTGATACAGCCACTGATGGACCAACTGATGTTGATACAGCCACTGATGGACCAACTGGTGTTGATACAGCCACTGATGGACCAGCTGATGTTGATACAGCCACTGATGGACCAACTGATGTTGATACAGCCACTGATGGACCAACTGATGTTGATACAGCCACTGATGGACCAACTGGTGTTGATACAGCCACTGATGGACCAGCTGATGTTGATACAGCCACTGATGGACCAGCTGATGTTGATACAGCCACTGATGGACCAACTGGATGTTGATACAGCCACTGATGGACAGCATGACTGATGTTATAACTGATGTTGATACAGCCACTGATGGACCAACTGGTGTTGATACAGCCACTGATGGACCAACTGATGTTGATACAGCCACTGATGGACCAACTGATGTTGATACAGCCACTGATGGACCAACTGATGTTGATACCCAGCCAGCTGATGTATAACTGATGTTGATACAGCCACTGATGTTATAACTGGTGTTGATACAGCCACTGATGTTATAACTGGTGTTGATACAGCCACTGATGTTAACACTGATGTTGATACAGCCACTGATGGACCAACTGATGTTGATACAGCCACTGATGGACCAACTGATGTTGAAAATATACTGTGTTGATACAGCCACTGATGTACCAACTGATGTTGATACAGCCACTGATGGACCAACTGATGTTGATACAGCCACTGATGGACCAACTGATGTTGATACAGCCACTGATGTTATAACTGATGTTGATACAGCCACTGATGTTATAACTGATGTTGATACAGCCACTGATGGACCAACTGATGTTGATACAGCCACTGATGGACCAGCTGATGTTGATACAGCCACTGATGTTATAACTGGTGTTGATACAGCCACTGATGGACCAACTGGTGTTGATACAGCCACTGATGGACCAGCTGATGTTGATACAGCCACTGATGGACCAACTGATGTTGATACAGCCACTGATGGACCAACTGATGTTGATACAGCCACTGATGGACCAACTGATGTTGATACAGCCACTGATGGACCAACTGATGTTGATACAGCCACTGATGGACCAACTGGTGTTGATACAGCCACTGATGGACCAGCTGATGTTGATACAGCCACTGATGGACCAACTGGTGTTGATACAGCCACTGATGGACCAACTGGTGTTGATACAGCCACTGATGGACCAACTGATGTTGATACAGCCACTGATGTTACACTGGTGTTGATACAGCCACTGATGTGACCAACTGTGTTGATACAGCCACTGATGGACCAACTGATGTTGATACAGCCACTGATGGACCAACTGATGTTGATACAGCCACTGATGTTATAACTGATGTTGATACAGCCACTGATGAACTGTGTTGATACAGCTGAGTGCGCCACTGATGGACCACTGATGTTGATACAGCCACTGATGGACCAACTGATGTTGATACAGCCACTGATGTTATAACTGATGTTGATACAGCCACTGATGTTATAACTGATGTTGATACAGCCACTGATGTTATAACTGATGTTGATACAGCCACTGATGACAACTGATGTTGATTCAGCCACTGATGGACCAACTGATGTTGATACAGCCACTGATGGACCAACTGATGTTGATACAGCCACTGATGGACCAACTGATGTTGATTCAGCCACTGATGGACCAACTGATGTTGATACAGCCACAGATGGACCAACTGAGTGTTGAGTTACAGCCACTGATGGACCACTGATGTTGATACAGCCACTGATGGACCAACTGTGTTGATACAGCCACTGATGGACCAACTGATGTTGATACAGCCACTGATGGACCAACTGGTGTTGATACAGCCACTGATGGACCAACTGATGTTGATACAGCCACTGATGGACCAACTGGTGTTGATACAGCCACTGATGGACCAGCTGATGTTGATACAGCACTGATGGACCAACTGTGTTGATACAGCCACTGATGGACCAACTGATGTTGATACAGCCACTGATGGACCAACTGGTGTTGATACAGCCACTGATGGACCAGCTGATGTTGATACAGCCACTGATGGACCAACTGATGTTGATACAGCCACTGATGGACCAACTGATGTTGATACAGCCACTGATGGACCAACTGATGTTGATACAGCCACTGATGGACAGTGATTTGATACAGTCACTGATGGACCAACTGATGTTGATACAGCCACTGATGGACCAACTGATGTTGATACAGCCACTGATGGACCAGCTGATGTTGATACAGCCACTGATGGACCAACTGATGTTGATACAGCCACTGATGGATCAGGTGATGTTGATACAGCCACTGATGGTCCACCTGATGTTGATACAGTCACTGATGGTACAATTGATCCTGATACAGTCACTGATGGACCGACTGATGTTGATACAGCCACTGATGGACCAGCTGATGTTGATACAGCCACTGATGGACCAACTGATGTTGATACAGCCACTGATGGACCAGCTGATGTTGAAACAGCCACTGATGGACCAACTGATGTTGATACAGCCACTGATGGTCCAACTGATGTTGATACAGCCACTGATGTTCCAACTGATGTTGATACAGTCCACTGATGGTCAGCAATTATGGATACAGCACTATGGACCACTCTTCGTGACAGGACATCGATGGACCACATTGATCCGCCACCTGATGCCACCGACTGTGTATGAATACAGCCAACTGTATCGGACGAGTGTGTTCCGAACAGCCTCTGCAAGGAACTGAGTGTACATGGACCGCTGATTTGGCCAACGAGCCTTGTAGCCCCATTCCACTGTGCTTCCAACTTGATGATGTGTGATCAACATCACACTGTGCCACTCCATTGACTGTCGTAATGTTCCACCCCTTGTCGACAGCGACACATGTAATCACAAATAAGGTCTTGTCCCAAATCGAGCTTCATGCAGTGAACGTCCTCTGTTTGTATCGAAATCATGATATATTACCAGCACGGTGTTACGCCTGCGTTCTCTACTTTGCATGTAGAAATCTGTAGTGTGACAACTGTACCGTCAGAGTTAACAACACATTCTGATTTCTTTTTCCAGCTCCTGTTCCCGAGTACAGAAGCTGCCTACGGGTGAGCTGACGCCAAATACAGTCAAAATCGTTCCCAGTGACTTCAATTGTTATTGTTATGAGTGATTTCCCACCCTGAGTGTCGTCTCCCGTCGACCACTTGTTAATCATCTAATTCTAGGTCTTGTCCTAGAAATCGAGCTTGTAGGTTGACTGAAACTTACTTCCCACATCCCCTTGATGATATCACAGTGATTCTGATTTCAGTAATTGGAATTACCATCCCTTTCCTCGAACTGAGCCTGATCGCCTCCCCCTGGCACTATAGTACCCCAACAGTTTAAAAATTCTCAGGATAATAATTGTAATTACTTTCTGTATGACTTCAAAATATCGCATGTTTTAATTCTAATAAGCGTAATTCTTTTGTGCAACTGTGTTTTTAATCATAAACTAACATTACTATTTTTTTTCAGCGGACATTGGTGACAACTTGATACAAGATACGATGACGACCGTGGGAGATAGTACAAGTGGCAACACCACCACTAGTTCCTACACTACAACTGAAAGTTCAGTAACTCCAGAGGTGACCCTCGACCAAGATGGTGATTACATTACTGAGGCTTCTGTTGCTACTGACGGTGTGAGTGATGTTAGTGAACCAAGTGTTACTCAACCCTCAACACTTACTGAGGCAACTTTGGTTACTGAAAGTCCTGAAGATAAAGACACCACAGGAGTTACAGAGATTCCTGTAGGTACACCAGGCCCTGATACTTCAGCAACTGATGACACTGCCACTGATGGACCAGCTGAGGTTGATCAGCCAGCTACTCATCCCCCAACTGGTGTTGAGACAGGCACTGATGGTCCAGTTGGTGTTGATATAGGAACTGATGTCCCAACTGCTGTTGATTCAGGCACTGATGCCCCAACTGGTGACGAGACAGGCACTGATAAACCAACTGGTGTTGAGACAGGCACTGACGAACCAACTGGTTCTGAGACAGGCACCGGCGCCCCAACTGGTGTTGAGACAGGCTCTGGTACCCCAACTGGTGTTGAGACAGGCACTGACAAACCAATCGGTGTGGAAACAGGCACTGATAAACCATCTGTTGTTGACACAGGCACTGACGAACCAACTGGTGTTGAGACAGGCACTGCCTCAACTGGTGTTGATGAGTCAGCCACTGTAAGCTCTCTGGGCCCTGAAGGCACCAAGGCTCCAACAGTTATTGAGGGTCCCGAAGGTGCAAAACAACCTGGCAGTACTGACGCCTCTGCAGGTAGTGGCCCGTCCACCACCTCCTCGACGTCCTATGTTGACGACACGGATAGCGTGGTGACTGAGGCCTCTTTGGCTACTGATGATTTTGATGTGACTGGCGGTGTGACTGCTACAGAATCTTCTTTCTTCCCTGAAGAACCAACTGTCACGGGCGAATCACTGGTTACTGATGGTTCTGTTAGTACTGACAGCACCTCCGACGACTTCAGTGGAACTAGTGTCACCGAAGCTGCAGGAACTACTGCTGCTGGGCAGAGTACGGGGAGTGTCCTTGGTGACACAAGCAGTACCGACTCAGAGACTTCAGTTGGTGTCAGTGAGTCCAGTACTTCTGAGGCAACACTCGCGACAGAGGACTCTGTAAGTGAGGCTCCTGAAAGCACATCTATTTCACCGTTTGAGTTTTCCTCAGTCACAGAGTTGACTGAGAAACCTTCCCAGGCGACCAAGCCTACGACAGTAGCTGGTAGCACTGAAACTTCAACCACGGAGGGAGACATTATTGCGCAAGTCTCTGAGAAACAACCTGAAGTTGGCGCTGAAATAGGGAGCTCGGAGGCACCTGCGGTAACCACAGTATCACCAGATGCTTCCTTGATTGCATTCCCAACACCTGTCACTTCAGATGCATATCCGTTCCCACCTTATCCAGGCACTGAATCACCAATACCATCCTATCCAAGTTCAGAATCAACCACAGACACAGCTTGGACACCATCGTCAGCGACTGAAATGATTTTGGGTCCCGGTGCATGCATGTTTGATGGCAAGGTATATGTGTCAGCCCAGCAGATTCCCCGCGAAGACGACTGCGAGTTCTGTTTCTGCTTCCGTGGTGATATCATTTGCTTGCAACAGACCTGTCCATATCCCATTGACGGGTGCTTTAAGGAACGTATCCCAGGTTTCTGCTGTCCACGATACGAGTGTCCCGTCACTCGGAGTGTGGTTAACATCACCACTACCACCACGCCGATCCCTACCTACCCACCTGTGCAGCGACGGGAAGAAGTATTCATGTGTGAGATCAGTGACAAATTCTACCACATCGGTGAACTGGTCGAAGAAGCCTCAGGACCATGTCTAGTGTGCAGGTCAGTATATCTCGCACAGTTATATGTTTAACATCTAATTTTAGGTTAATGTGTATGTACTGGCTGTTATAATGCAGATTATATTTGCTATATTAACCGAGTATATATTCATGGATAAAAATCGGTTACTTAACATACATACACCTTTAATCTATACAATATTTTTTTTCACGGATTTAGTGCATTAAATAAGTAAATGGAAAAATAATTGTTGACAGTTCTCCCAAAATCCCCCCTTTAATGGAATACCTTGATGCCGGTGAAAAGCTCTTGCGCCAAGGAATTGGAGGTACCCTCTCTTTCCTTCGTTCAAGCCTGACCTGAACTCATTGTCTTCATGCGCGAAATGGAGGTTCCCTTAACCTATAATGATGAGGCTACGAGTATATTTAAGCGGACCCCGGCCAGGTACTGGCTAGTACAAATTGTTCTACATAAACCATAATTATTAAAAGGGTGGACCGGTAAGCCAGCGGAAGGCTTTGCTCAGATGACCAAGAGCTCCAGCGTAGGGTCATCATATGACCTAGACTCTCGTCAGGAAACACTTGTCCTGTTTCCTGACAAATTTTATCTAATCTAACGAGGTGCTGGCTAGACCCAATGATGCTTAACTTGATGTTCACTATTCATTATAATCATCTTTACCATTACCGCTATCATTATAATTTTCACTATAACCAGTCTTCATTACCTCCATCATATTCAGCATTACCTGCATCGTTTTCGTCATAACTTGCACCACCACGATTCGTCATCATGATTATTACTTTAACACGGCTATAAATCCTGGTCACTAATGATTCTTGTCTCCTGGTTCAGGTGTGGTAGGGGAGGCATGATGGAGTGTGATCCCAAGGATTGCCCGGCTGAACCCATGCTTCGTCAGATCCTCGGCACTAAGTACCAGCGGTGAGCGTCTTGTCAGGAAGGGTCGTGCAGCCTAGCCGCCCTCCACACCCGCTACCACCACTCACTACAACTACCCACTACCACCCACCTGCCACCCGTACACACAGGGATGGCCAGTCCTAGCAACTCCCATCTGTTCCTGCTTGCTGGGATGGTTCACGCGTGGACACCATCCTAGTAGCATACATTTTTTTGGGAGGGGTTTGCTAGGCGGGTTCTTGCTGCTAGGTTACTAAGAGAAGTAAAGGACATTTTTCTGAAAGTAAATCAACGGTGATAATTTCGGTATATAACATACAATTGTGGTGATGTTATGAAAGTGTCGATTTCTAAATTTGTGTATGTGTGTGCGCGCGCGCTTGTGTGTGTGTATGAATGCATCACGTCCCTTCTCAGTAGCCATGTTAAGCTAGTGTGTCCACAACGCTCAAATAGAAAGTCTGTGTTAAGAGGAGTGGTGACTGTGTAATGTGAAGACAGACTAGACGTAGTGCCAAGTAGTCCCGTACATTGTTATAGAAAACGTAAAATATACACTCGACGAGGAGCAAAGGAGCCTAGATAATCTTACTCCTTTCCTCCCCCTCCCCAAGAAAAATAGTAATAATAAGGATCGATATTTTGAGCTTAAGGTATCACTGGTAGCTTCGCGTGTCACGGATGTATTGTTTCTGCTGTTAAAAGTTGAAAGAGACAGGTGACAGCATTATGTGTTGGCATTCTCATCATTACCTCCTTTATTGTTCTCTAGAAATTAGAATTTGTAGCATATTTTCTCCCCACTAAGACATACATTATATATATATATATATATTATATATATATATATATATATAATATATAATTTTATATATATATATATATAATAATATTGTGTGTGGTGTGTGTGTGTGTGTGCGTGTTACTCTCTTGTGGCATTAAGAAAGGCATTCATATAACCTTGCCTGTCTATGTTATCTGTGGACACGCGAATACTGCTGAACATTGACTCTTACCTTATTTAGTCGATTCTGAAAGTTGCTGGAAATTATTAAGCTTTCCTCAACCTGCTTACATTGTAGGCTTTTTCGCCGATGTAATGACCAAGAAATATAAAAACTTCCTAATTATTGCTTGTAAATGCGACTCTTGTAATATGCACAAGTTTTGGGCACCTTGTAAGGATTTCTTTATACAAAGCTTTGATGTGTGGATAAAATTATTTAAAAAGCTGTAGATTTAGGTTAGATATTCCGAGGTACATTAATAAGCTCGCTATACTCTTAAGTGACCCTTTGGTCGCGTCACTTTGACGGAGCCTGACTCACTGGGTTCTAGAAGTGGCTGGCACACAACGCCTGGAAAGAAACAGGTGAAGGAAGCCAGGCCAGTCTTTAGTCCTGCTAGATGTGTCTTTCTCAGATTGATATACTTTTTAATTTATTATTTTTTTTAACTGAAGGCAGAGAAAAAGCTCCTACTCTGTTTCATGCTAGATTTCTTGTACAAGCAGCTGGTCTGTTCACTTTCTTTGGCTTCGTAGATCACAGCTGGTTTATATATACAATAGCGTTTGGGCATTAGCAAAGCCAAGTTCCCGAGAGCAGGCGGTGTGACCCTTGTCATTCTGTCTGACCCTCGTTCTAGCCCACCTGTCCACACCTCTGATTGCTTATACGGAAGTCAATATATTCTACGTCACTTCCTCGTGACACCCCTGACACATATCAGTACATATTACTAGCTGAGCCAATACTGTAAGTTTTTAAAAAATCCTCATATTCTACAGTCAGAAAGCTTCATTTCTCTTAATATTATTGCTAGATCATTACACTATGATGCACACTCCTGCATCAGGACAACAAAGATTTTGTCCAGCCTGTCATCTTGGAGAGAACAATATCATGGTCCGCTCCCAACCATGAGAACATTCATGAAAATCTTCATGCTGGCATCTGCGACATTTCTGACATTATTGGTCCTCTCCCTTTATAGGTGCCAAACCACTTCTTTAGAATGTCTTAGTCTGAGGGGCAGAACGCTCGAAAAGCACTTAATCTTTAGTTACTCTTAGTAGTCTGACACCGCGTTTTATTTCAACCAAGCAAATAGATAACAAAAGGTCTTGATTAAAAATATTTTATGCTAGCTCTCTTAGCGTTTCCCTCGGTGCTGTGAAAATGTTTTCTGTATGTGCTGGGAGGTGATCCCGTTAATTAAGGAATCACCGCTAGCCATCGCCATCGAGCTTTCTAAGTGAGTAACTTTTATAAGAGTGTAATGAGTTATCTCCGAAGCACACGCATTCAGAGCCGCAGACGCCATAGTCCGAAATGCAGCGTAGTTTAAAATCAAATGAGTGCTTTTCCGGAGTTCTTGCCTGGTCTTTCACCGTGCCTGGTAGCTGTGGCGCCTCGAGGGAGCACGGTGAAGGCTATTGCTGCTGTAAGGTTAAGGCTGGAATGTGTAATATTATAGACTTTAGGTCCAGTACTGGAGACTTGCGTGCTAGACCAAGATACAATGTTTGACCAGTGAGCGTTCATTGGTTGTTGTCACCATTGTTACTGAACACTAATTTGGTCATATTCCTGCAGTGAACGCTTATTGGTCACATCATGGGGTGGCAGCCAATCAGCACCCAGTATACGTGACATCACGCCGTAACGAATAGTTATAAGTAAGAACTGCCATGGTCAAGTCACTGCTCAGGCGTCAGCACCAGCAGTGACTGTGGTATTGAGCAGTTCAGGATGCCCAAGAAGCAGTATTCTTGAAATGTGATCATTTAAAAAATTAATTATTTATTCTAAGATAGGGCCTCTCAAAGCATTTATCTTAGTACGACGCCTGTACAGCTCTTATCTTTTATGATGTACCAGTCTGTAAGCTTTTTTATTTGTATAAAATGTGAATAAAAGAAGAAAGTAACATTTGTTTTTTATTGTCTCGTTACAGCTCAGCGTAATTTTAAAAATATGTTTTTAACTATGAGGAATATGCTGGTTCTATCATATCTTCCCATCTAGATATTCTTAAATAAACTGGTAAGTCTGTAGATATTAACAATGCTGAAATCATAAGACAAACATGAAACTACCCTCCCTACCCTGGATCAAACTTGATTTCCTCCCATTTCCCAGGTGCTGTTTGGCCCCTATGTGTTTAGCGTATCCCCATAATACTAATAATGCAGGAAACATATAAGGGAGGTTCTTTGATGATGAAGGGCTCTTCATCCAAGGAATTGGTCCTGACCTCTCCTTTGGAATGAACCTTATTACCTTCCGTTCCTCCAGGCATTGTATGAATAGTATGGATTTTAGCGCTCCCTTCCCATAAACGTAAAAAAAAAAAAATCAAATAGTGTAAACAAAAAACACGAGTTACAGAACAAGTTTTTATTGCCACAACATTTCACTCTATAATTATTAAAGTCACGATACAGCGAAACGTCGTCCAAATTAAAACGTGTTCCACAAGTCTTTTTGTCTTTATAGTTTTGTGGTAAAACGTCATTTCACCCAGAAATAGTAAAGCGGGCAGAGTGGGGCAAGGTGGGAGGTAGCCAGGAAGGTGGTAAACAAAACATTGTACAGTCTATCAGGGTAGTTCAAGGGAGGAGGTGGCTGGAGTTTAGCACCACAGCAGTGTTCCTGTATGGAAATGCAGGTAATAACATGTAAGAATTTTCTCTTATACAAAGTATGTATGATGTGCGTATTTTTTTTAAGGATGAGTTTGTGATCTCTGTTATTGCAACGGTTGGTTTTATTAGGATTAAAACCTCTCGACTACACGAGGGTCATTAACGTAACTTGTAAACCCCGAGTCAAGAATACTTTGTGGATAAATAAAGTACTCTCATCATATATACACTACGAGATACACAATTCTCGCACTAAAACAAGCTTAGGTGTGTTTACAGAGTTAATTTTGATACGAAATGGAGATATGTACGATATGAAAGAACAGATATATGAATATACTTCATATCAATGCCTGAGATAGATTTTTCGACAAGATTGATAAATCCTGAATAAAATTTAACTTGTGCGCATGTTTCGTTTATATATATTAGTTAAAATATTCGTGATGGGTGGGGTATAGGTAAAATGGAGTCAATAGATCGTCATCAAAAACAATAGGCTTTAATCCCCAAAAAAAACTAAGTGTAAGGGCGTAGATCTGGAGGTCAGTACGGTTATTAGAGGCACATTAGGTGGTATAAAGTGTTAAAATGTACTCCTGATCTCATTAGCTACTTTGTGGTTGGCCACGTGTGCTGCTGATTCAGCTACCAAGGTTAATAAATGAAACAGCCTACCAATGCTAGGTCCGATTGTAGTATCGATGACTGGTGGGACACAGCTAACATGTTGGCGGATGACCTAGTAGAAGTAACTTGTAATTGTGCCTTTTTGGAGAGGTGGGGGGGGGGTGCCTTGATGAGCTCTTGTTTCGAAGAGCTGGAGCTATCCCCTCCCTTGGATGAAACCGATTCTCCCATTCCCGATGAATTGGAGACGAATCAGATTACTTCCTTTTCTCCCAGGCACTGTATGATCTGCGAATTTAGCGCTTCCCCATGAATATAATATTTCGGAAGGAAGTAAGTCAATTTAGAACGAGTGGCGGTAAAGATCATCCAGTAAGAAATTAAGCCGAAATTAACATATATTTAGTTTTAAGAGGTTAATGACATTTTAAATTGTATAATATGAACTAGAGAATTTTAAGAACAAATGGATACCAAAAAAAAAATTGACCAGAATTGTATTATGCAAGGATTTGAATTAGATATAAAGATCAAACTGACAACTGGCAGCGCTGCACTGGACAGACGCGGAGAGACGCATGTAAGACACCTTGCAATAGAACCGTAATTTAATCTGGAACTACGAGCTATACTGATTTCCTGAGTTACGTATTTTGTCAGTAAAACTAGTCTTGATTATCCTGTGCATCGGAGAAGATTGTACGGCCATTATTTCCCAGGAAAAAGAAACTATTTCCAGGACAGGGCGACCAGCGTCGTACAGCCGCCGCCAATTGTCACCTGACGACGTAAGTTTCCTTCAGAAGTGGTGGGATGAGGTTGTCTTGATGCTGATGCAGTGTGACGCCAAGGGGGGCTTGAGAGGACATCACACCAAAATTCCTTCAGCCCCCCTTCCAAATGAAATAATATTAAGGCTGTTTCAAAAGTCTCAGGCCGCCTCTTTCAACCAAAACCATTCCAGCAGAGAAATTCTGGCGTCCTCCCTGTGCTGGTAATAATCAGTCCCTGTGTTGGTGAAAGACTCGATCCGAGGAAATATTGCTACTATCCGCTTCCTTGGATCGAACATGATTACCAAAAATTCCCCAGGCTTGTATGACCCTTACGGGTTTACGGCTTCTCACTAAATGTAATTTTTTATGTAAAGGTGATTTAGTCGCATTATAAAGGCATAAGAATGAAGGTACACTGCCGCAACTCTATAATTAAAGCCTCTGCTTCACCTGGATAATGTTGCTTGTCTGAAAAGTCCAGTGTTAACATTAAAAAAGTGGTACACTATTTTAAAAGTGCACAATTACGGTATACATAAGCTTATAAATAAAAAAATGTACTAGTAAACCTGGTTAATAGCCTGCAGTATCAAACGAAGTGGATATCATTTTATATTTCCAAGAATGGATAAGGTTTATGCCTAGGCCTACTGAAAAGTATTAAAAAATATGAATTGTGATATTCTGGTCATTCAAATTTACAAGACTAGGCTGTGCCTCTTGATCACATTTACTCCGTGTATAGGTAGTCCGTTCTGGGGTAGGACTTTTTAA